CGCCCTCTATGATTTTGTCTTATATTCTACTAACCTTGCATGTTTAAGACTCGCAGAAGCTTTAGGAATCGCAGAATATTCTTCAAGCAGGATAAACGTTTTTCTTGAATTTCTGGTACGAAAGCTTAGCGGCTTTTATCTTTGAAACTTACCATTTGGTTATAAACTTCATATAATTTGCCCAGATTTATTTTCTACTGATTTTATTGATTATTTTCTACTGGTATTAGTTTAATTTTAGCCATCACTGCCTGTAAAAGCCTTCGTTCACTGTGCGTTTCCTTTGCTGCCTTGCTCACCGGTGATCTTCTTCATGGCTTGTTTACTTGATTAACAAAGGAAATTCGTTGATTATGACAGGACGCATTAAAGAACCTATTCGTCTGATAGCTACGCTAACAAGAAACAACTTTCTGAGTGCTGAAATCGACGGTCGTATACATCATTCTTGTAACGGCGATGCAGACCGTAACGTAAATATTTTACTTTGATCCAGATTCACTCGAAGTGCTGGCTTGAACTAACTTGATATTGAACATTGTTCTGTTCAAATCGATGTACTTTTACTCTCGAAACGATCAATATCAATCATCTACTCATTGTAAATTAGGTGACTGTCGACTCTTTTCTGGTTTAAAAATTGTCGTAGTTTCGGTCAGCGGTATCCAACGAACAGTACTGTCCTGAAGAAGCTGTGCGAGATTAATGGAAAAGCCGGTTGGGATTTATGAGCCTTGTAAATATATTGCGCTACTTTTTATTTAATAAACTGTTTTTGTTGAACATGTATCTACTGCTGTCTGGCAATGAAACCTAATGATATGCAAAGCGCTGATAGGGTATTCGTTACATTTACGATTATCTTAAAAATTAATAAGTGATTAGAACCTGGTTTAACGGCGCTATTTTACGTGAAACTTTGCATCTAGTTGCTTGAGGTAGGGGGCATGTAAGAAAACCATGGCTCCATGTTGCTTACGCACCTGCAGTACACAGATGCACTTCATTTCATTTTTGACTAAACTTTTGCAGAAATACAAACTAAAAATGAGGATATCCATTTTCAGAGGAACGAGGTGTGCATATAGGATTGCCTTCAGTAGCAAAACAATGACAACGAATGTTTCGCGTTCTCTGAAATAACTTGAAAGTTATGGCAGAGACTGCGACGATGCTTTCGTATTTTACACCAGGCAACGGGTGGCGATATGATGTAAACAATAGCAAGTTCAGTCATGAGCAGTTTAGCCGTTTTTGTTGCATGAAATGAGAGAAATGACATGTAAAGGACATTAACCAACAAGGATCAATATCAACTTTCCCTCAGATAAACCCAGGACGCTAAAGTTTCCACAGTTATCATAAAGAGATGACAAGCAATTCATTTCAACATGGTAATTTACAAAGTGTTATGCCGATATTGGGAAAAGACCGACTCAGGCTGAAACAATGGCTGAAACTGAGCAGCGACAAATGTACAGAAATGGAAATGCCGATCATAACGACAGTTTGCAAGCCATTATTGACATCGGAATTAACCAGAAATTGTAACAGACGATATATAATTAAAGAACGATGTCAAAATTACAGGCGTCTAAAGTGATGAAGTTAACATTATAGTTAATATAGAGACCTATAGAAATGTATTTTCATGAACCGGCAAACGTTTATCCAGTGGAATACCAAAAGGTAAAAATATTATTTTAATGATCGTTTTAAATTACGCTGAAAAAATTTTAGAACCGTTATCTTTCAAACATGAAAGTAGTCATCAAACAAGTATCATTCGTTCAATAGAACGAGATATTTCCTTAGACTTTTCTTCAGAAGTCGCGTCCTTCAATTTGGTAATAATTAAGTTCAAACTTAGCTGGCAAGCATAGTCCACAGTCGGTTTGTCACCCCATAGCAGAGTAACGATTCCCTGTAAAATGTAGAAAATTGCTTGTTCGCTGAGGTCAATCTGAATTCCTAAGTTTTCAGGAGAACAACTACTGACTAGAGCATGGATAAGGGCAATCTTCTTCGCCTCACAGCCGGAAGAAGTTGATAAGTGAAGAAGCAGACAGAGATTTGCAAACGTGGCAGCCACCGCTGCCTGAGCCGCTGGTTTCCTGGCGTTTAAATGTGCGATGATGAAGT